TTATAAAATTCTAAAAAGATTTAAATATTATAGTAGATAGTAGATAACAGTTATAAAATAATAGTTTTAATTTAATCAGGATTTATTATAATATCTATAAAGAAAATAATATATTTAAAAAATTTAATTTATTATTAAAAGAAAGAATATTTAGATAGTTTAATATAAAGATTAGCTTATTATAGTTGTATTAATATTTTTTTAATATATTCAGTATATTTATATCTAATTATTGAAAAGATAAGAATATTATCTAGATATATAATATAAATAATATCGAGAATATTATACAATACAGAATATATATAATTTTAGAAAAAAACAGATATATTAATTAAACTAAATAATATTATTATATATTTAAAATAATTATAATATATATAAAACATAGTCTTCTATTTATTTTCTTTTTTAATACAGATGCAATAATAGGTATTTTGGATATTAATTTTATTAAAATATTTATATTCAGCTAATCAGTTAAGAATTTTAGAGATTAAAAATAATAGATATTAATTTTTTATTATAATTTTATTAAATTTATAATAATCCACGCATAGCTATAAATTTTTATTTTTTTTAGATATAAAGAGAATAGGGGCCTCTGCAGGGCTTTTAAATAAGTATATTTTTTTATTAGCAGTATTTCTATTAATATAATCTTTAAATACTAAAAGTTTTTTTTAAAAGAGGATAAATGGGCCTAAATAGCAGTAATTTGCCTTTAAAAAGATTAATAGTATGATTCTTGTTATAATATTTAAAAAGAATTTTAGATTAATTAGAAGAAAAGATATCAGCAAATTCAATCAGTTCTAGCGGAATAGAATTATTTTAATAATATTCTAATTTTTTATTATTATCTAAAAATCACAGTTTCTCTGGGGCTTTAATAATTATATAAACACAGGCATAATTTTGGCAAGTCTTAGTAAATTTTTAAAGACTTAATTTTTAGATTTAATTAAATTTAAACTACTATTGCTTGTTTTAGAGAGATAAATAAATTTTATAGTTAAATAAAATAGTTATAAAAAGCAAGATTAGAATATTTTGAGTAGTAGCAATATATAATCTAGTAAAATATTATTATACTTTTTTTAAATTAATAATATCTAAAAGAATATCTTATATTTTATAGCTGATAACAGAGATATGGTTAATAGCTTTAAACTATAATAAGAATTTTTAGGATTCTAAAAAAAAATATTATTATATAAATTTAATACTAATTAAATCATATACTATATAACTGTCAATATCTGTATAGATTTTTTTAATATAGAATATTTATATTAATATTAATATTTTATTGGCTGTTTCTATTTTATTATACAGGGCTGAGACAGAGAAGTTGGCCTTAGTCTATTTTATTTTTTTATATTAATTTTTTTAACTTGCAGTTCTTAAATTTGAGCTGATTTTTTTTTTAAAAATATTAATTAGCAAGATATTTGGTATTATTATATAAAAAGCACCGCAGTAGTTTTCTGATTAACTTAGAATAATTAGATTTAGAATAAATAAGTTAAATATTTTTATAAAATTATAACTATTTTTAGAACATATTAGACCCGTCAGATTTCTATTTATATTTTTATTTTTGTATATATAAATTTTAATAATAAATAATAAGAAATACTATCTTATCTCATTTTTTAGACAGTTAGTATATATATTCTTTAATATAATAATTAAAATTAAAAAGTAATTTTGCAAAGAAAGTATAGCTATATTTTTTTTAATAGTTTTAAAAAAATATTGTTTTAAAATATTAAGATAAATATAGAATTTATAAGGATCTTGATTATTTCACTGCCAAGCTTGCTCTAACTGGCTTATTATATCAGATTTAAAAATAATAATATTTTAAATAAAAAAGAATATTTATTTAATAAGGACAAACTACAAATAGCTGATGTTTTTTTTTTTCTAATAGTAATTTTTTAAAATAACAGTACTATCTCTGCTGATAGATTATATTTATATGGCTTACAGTTTTAAAAATCTTGCAATAGTTATTATAGAATTTAAATAATATTTTCTAAAAATTATAATCTAAATTATAAAACTATTCCTGGCGTTTTTAAATATTAAAGAAAAGTTCGAATTGCGGGATATCTTTGATCTTAATATTTATTTTAGATTTATTTAAAAAAAAAAGTTTTTTATTACCGAGTTAGTGCTAATTTGATATTATTATATTAGATTTTTTATTATAATTTAGTAATTTATTTTTGCATCCAACTGATGGCCTAAGGCTGCCAACTGGCCTGAGGCTGCGAACTGGCGAGCCTGAGGCATATTTTCAGTGGCAGGCAGAGCTTAAGGTGGCGGGCGAGCAGGAATGGCAGGCGAGCAGGCCCTGAGGTGGCGCCTGGCAGTGGTGGCGAACTGGCGAGCCTGAGGCTGCCAACTGGCCAATCTGCCCATATTGTTGACAATTTTTTTATAATTAACTCTGCTATTTCTTATTAAGCCTCTATATTACTTTTCGGGTTGTTTAGTATTTTAGTATTGGGGGGTTTTGCAAAAATATAGTAAAAAAAGCTAAAAATAATAGCCTAGTCTTTAAAATAAAAGAAAGCTGATCCTGGAACAAGTAGCAGTCTATTAAGAATCCAGGGTATACCTTTAATTATAGACACTAGGATTATATAGCCCGCTTTTTCCAGTATTTTTATATTTTCTATTATTTTCTAAACCTGCAGACCAAAGCCTTTTAATAAAAAAGATATTTCTATATGATATCTGGAAGATGAAAGAGAAGGGACTAAAGAGTGTCTTGATTTTTGAGGATTTTTAAGTCATCCATCAAATCCTTGGTAAGGTGAAATTCGGCGCAACTCCAAGAGAATTCCCCGCATTCTCAAAGGAATGTCTGAAGGTGTTTGTGCGCAATTAATGGTATCCATGTCCAAGAGTTCGATTCGACATCTGACGGATTAAAGGTACAAGAGTCGCTTTCAGAACTCTACCCAGCGGCTTGGCTTCAGCACCAGGTGATAATTTCAGATTGTCTTGAAATTTAAGGTGCAAGACAATTATTTTTTTCTTATCCTCGAGACAGTACCTATGATTTATTTGGAAAGCAAAACCAACAAATGGAAACCGTTGTAAATAAAGTAAAAAATTCTTGAGAGGACAAAAGGTTGTCAGGAAGCCGGTCGAGAAATACCAGAACAGGTAATAGCGGACTGTAGAAAGAGTGTTATAATCTGGCAAGTTGTTTTTGGCCATCGCTCTGTCAGAGGAGGAAATAGCTTGAGACAGCCGCAACAGTTCTCGACTGGTAGGTATCTTATCCAGAATGCTAATATCAGCCGATCACGGTTTCAATAGAAACATTATCCGGAGAAATAACGTTTCCGATTTTTACTTCAGCATCTCTTATAACATAATACACCCGTGATAACTAGTTAGACAAAAGACGCCACAGTAGTTGTTACACTCTACCTCGATAAGTATTCGAGTTGCAAAGAACAACACTAGTACAAATAAAATAACATAGAAAGAAGAAACAAGAAAGAAAAGTTATTGAAAGAACTCTATAATTCAAGACGAGTATCATTGTTGTTGAGGTATAAGCGTCAGGCTCATCGTATGATTTTTGCTATATGATAGGCCAACGTTCCAAAGCGCTCAGGTGGGGCGGCGACGGCTCAAACAAAAGGTGGCGGGGAGGTAGTGCGGGCGCGTATACAGAATTAGTAATTGGCGGTTATTTTTGGCCCAGTGCCCTACGATTCATAAAGTAATACAGTCTTATCACGTAGAGAATCGCCTTTCGATATTCATGGCAAAAGCCTTGAAATCGCTTATACCGAGTATCAAATTCTGGCAATATATCTGTTTTAAGAATACAACGAATCCAATAATATTTGGATGTTTGCTTATCAGGGGAATAGTATCAATCTTTTATACAAATGGTTAGTGGTTTCAGCCTTGCTGAGTCAGAAAAAAAAGTCCCCTCTTCCTATTTTTCTACATCCTGACCAGCTGTTTACGCAACATTTGACAAAATTGAGATCAGCAATATGTCGGTTCCAGAATTTAATCCAGATATCACAAGTATTACTCTGAACCTTGAACATTTAATTCATATCCCATATCAGGTGAATAGCAAAATATCGTGCTGTATGAAATGTACATTAGAATCTTTTTCTCTAATTACAGCCGCTCTGCACATAGCCCCTCTCAGCCCTGTTTAATTTAATCCTTTCTAGCCTTACTACTTATCTTAAATGACGTGTCTCCCTTAGAATGCTTCTCTTTTCAACCCTCATCAATTTCATAGCTTCAGAATTCTAATCATGGCAGAAGAAGATCGAACGCACGATACATCAAACAACACTTCTCAAGATCAAGACAAACTTCTAGAAGTCCTCAAAAAGGCACTAAGACGAAAACACTCGAAAAAGAATCGCATACCTCGGACCTTTCTAGGGAATGGAAACATTAACCTGAACTTTCTGAGATCCGAAGATACACCCTTGACACTTGTAGCACGACATCCCTCGCATATCGACATACTGGAAATGCTGATCGAGATTGAAGGGATCGACATGGACATTAGGGATAACAAAGGACGGACTGCTCTTTCTTACGCCTGCGAGCTGCATGAGGTCAGATATGTCGAAGTCTTACTGCTCAACAAAGCACATCCAAATCTGCAGGATCAAGAGGGTCGCACTCCGTTATCGTGGGCGGCAACGCCGACCGGCAAAGGAAATAGTTTTTCTGAGATATTGAAACTGCTACTAAAGCATGGAGCAAATGCTAATAAAGAGGACCTTCAAGGATGGATCCCACTGATGTGGGCAGTCTCCAAAGGATCCGACGTTATCGTTGCAGACTTATTATCTTCCAACCCAGGAAATGTTGACCACCAAGATAAGCAAGGTCGTACGCCACTTTTCTTAGCCGCAGAATTTCAATACCCAACAATCGTGAATCTTCTTCTTGGTGTTGGAGCCAATCCAAGTATTGAGGATAATGATATGGAGGTCACTTTGACACGAGCGATTCGAACACAGCAAAATAACACAGTTCGAAATATTTTGGACGTGCCTAACGCGGGTATAAATCATCGAATTCGGGGTGGCGTTTCACCATTGACGCTGGCAGTGAAGCTCAGACTCACTCAGGTCACAGAGCTTCTTTTAAGATCCGAGGCTGACGTAAATGCCGAGGATGAGGACGGCTTTACTCCTCTAGGGTGGGCAGTTATCAAAGGCCAAAAAGCAATAGTGGGCTTACTAATTTCCTTTGGCGCTGACTTGGAATATAAGTATCAAAAACACGACTGCTGCACGGCACTGCTACTTGCTACGAAACATGAACAGATCGCTGTAGTTGATGAGCTACTCCAACGAAACGCTGAAGTCAATTGTGCAGACGTGCATGGCTATACACCCCTAGCATGGGCAGCCAGGCAGGGATCTGATGAAATAGTGAAAAGATTGTCGGCCGAGAGAGACATAAATATAGACACCAAGGATCTAAACGAACGAACACCTCTATCTCTAGCAGCGGAGTTTGGCCGGCCCCAGATCGTGCGATATCTGATACAACAGCAAGCCGATATCAACTCCAAAGATCGGGAAGGGCAGACCCCGCTGGCGTGGGCAATCAGACAATCAGAGGACAGCACAGTGGTCGAACTACTTCGCAACAAGACAATTGACCTTGAACATCATGACGTGAATGATGACTCACCGCTCTTTCTTGCCGCAAAGAATAATAACAGCTTTTTGGTGCATATAATAATGAAAGCGGGTGCAAATGCAATGCGACTAGTCAACGGTCATACATGTTTCTGGTGGCTTGTCAAGGCTAGATTCGAGATGAAGAACAAGCCAGAAAGCTTTGTGCCTAGTCGACGACTCAATCCTTTCCAAATGCTCGAAATTGTTCCCTACCACTCAGATCCAGACCTTCTAGAGAACAATAGAACCTTGTTATCATGGTCAGCGGAGTATGGTGACTATGCGATGGTTCAGGCGCTTCTCGAACACGGTGCCAATCCTGATATTCGCGATGGACCACCAATAAACGCCCAAATACACTCTATTGAAACAAAGCGAATAGACGCTAGCTCAAGCTTTTCTAAAACACCACTATTATGGGCATTGATTAATGGTCATCTTGATGTGGTGGACATGCTGAAAGAAAAAGACTCTTCATCGTTACACCTGCTCATCAAAGAAAGAGAGCTTCTAGGTGAACCAGAAGCTTTGAAGCTGGTTTGTGAACTTCTCAAGACAGCATATGACATCAACAAGCTCGATTCTGAAGGCAGATGTACACTTCATTTGCTGAGCAATGTGCAAAAAACAAAATTTGCTAAAGCCCTATTGGATGCGAAGGATGTGAAAGTTTCCCTGAATCTACAAGACAATTCCGGAAAAACATCTCTCTATTACGCTTTGAAAGAGAAGAACGAAGCATTTGCTCGCATGTTACTCAAGAAAGGAGCCGATACAAGCAATATATCTGCCGAAGCTTGGTTTTATCTCAGCAACGAGGCCACACGATGGATCGAATTCACACGGCAAGATAGTGGTTCCATATCTTTGTGTCTGCACCCGGGTGTGGGGGCGAATGGTGTCGATCGATTGAAGAAAATCAAAACCAAACTTTGGTAAGAAGCGCCCACTGCTTGATGTTCTCGCTGACGTTTCAAGTCTATTCCAGAGAGGGGACCCTACATGGTCGCGAAAAGGGCCTAGGCTTGCTTCCCAAATGATTAGGTACGATTACTTCTGTCGAGGTCATTCAAAACAAAAGTCTTCGTCATTTGAGCCTTCAGAATCTCACATCTTGGTCTGCTTTCCTGCCGACAAAATCGACATTGAATCAAACTCGCACCATGCCACTTTTTCAGGTATTGAGTGGAATAAGGAGTCGAGTGCGAACGGAGACTTTTATACTTTTAGGAGTACATTGTCGGACAGTCGAATTCCTCAAACACCAGCGGAGCTCTGTAGCACTTTTATTGACCACCTAGGTCAGGAATGGAATGGTATATGCACTGGTGCGATGGAAACTATCAAGACGACTGTAAGTACAATCATTTCTATTTAATCTTTCTGTCTCACCTTTGTACACGATTGCTGATTTTGCCAGCGGCGTGACCAACTTTTGAGACAGGGCCGAGGTCAAAAAATAATCCAGATTCTTGCTCAGAATGGAGTGAAACGTGCCGAGCTGCAAAGAGCTTTACGCCAACATGTTGAGGGTCTCCGACAAGCAATCGACGAAGACACCACTATTTTTCCCGAACAGAAAAGAAAATTACAGGCACAGGTCAATAAATTTGACAAGTCGGTCAATGCCAAGGTGCTTGGGATTGAACGAGCGGTTCGAGAGCTTTTACAGATTGTGCGCATATTTTCAATCTGTTTGACTGCCTCTAACTTTTCCAAAGGAATTTGCCTGGATCTCAATCAGCGAGGCAGCAAGTATCAAACGACTTAGCTGGATTACAGTCAGTATTCAAAAATCCCTAACGTACTTTTCTGACTATTCCTTCCACAGTTTATTTTTCTGCCATTGATGTTTGTCTCAGTAAGTTCTTCTCTGCCGATACAAGGAACTTTAGCCCAATCGCACAAATCACGTTAGCTTACCCTTTGACTCAGAGTCTTTTCGGTATGAATGTGAATTTATTAGACGATAACCCAGACTGGCGATGGTATCTGGTACTGGGAGGGGCATCGCTACTTTTTACTGTCATTATGTGGACTCTTTTCAAGTTTGTGCCTGTAAGAGGTTGAACAACTGAAGAGCCGAATGTAGATGCTAATCAATGATTCGCAGATCGAGAGCTGGCTTGAAGCAAAGTGGCTCTCATTCAGAAGACCACGTAATGCACATGTTGGCTCAAAGGTATAAATGACTGTTTATTGTGCGTTAATCTCCGGCATATCAGTCAGTTTGATGTATCGATATCATCTCAACGCTGTGAGTAACATAAGAAAGCTCTGCACGCCCACGAGTCTGATTGCTTTATGTATATATTGCTACGGTACTATATGAAATCAGAGACCTTGAAGTTTCCGTCGAGCTTTCATAGAGAAATTCGTGTGCTAATATACTCTTGATAGTAATTGTAAACGTTCGAGGTAAAGTGTAATCCACACCTTCAAGACAGGAATTCGCCATTGATCGTTCTTTTGGAGCATTAAAAAGCTCGGACGTATGTGCGTTATGGCATTCAGCGTCGTGTCTTCATGAAAATATACTCATCGTTGCTGGATGTGAATGCGGACACCGAGCCTCTGGGCATAGCTGGGATAGTGTCTTTCAGATTCTGGGTTTTTATGCGCATCGCATTCCCTTTACTTGCTCGTACTTATGAAGAGAATATGCTAGACACGACGGCGGATGATCGTCTGCTATTACGAGCCTCTAATCTAGAGTGCTTGCTGTAGCTGATCTCGCTCTGGGCCGATTGAGAATATGACAAATATGACAGACTTTTGCGCCGCTGGATTCTTCGCTCGAGAGCAACTGAGAAGAAAGAGCTCTTCTGGTCCGCTTCTGGGAACGAAAGATGCGAGGCGATTACCTTGTGTTGTGTAGGTCATGTGTTCATGATCAGAATATCATATTCCTATCGGCTTATCTCCCTCTCTTAGTTGATTCCATATTCAAGATTAACAGAACAGGGGAAAGGCGAGCCATAATCATACTATTTCCTTAACACAATAGAGAATCAGTCAAACGGCCAACAGCGCTCGTACTCAGCCTTTTCCTCGTCAGTTTCAGCCAATTGCTCCAATATCAGGTCTTTCACTTCGTGGAGGGCAGCTTTGCACTCTTCATATCGCTCCCGCTCGATAAAGCCTTTGTCCGGCCACAAATCGCCCAATTTCTCCTTGACCTCCGCAACAAGATCAGTTCCTGCCACTGCACCATCGCTATCCTGTTTAATACGCTCAAAATCTGCTTCTGAAAAGTCGAACGGGAATGGTGTGTCGCTGGTAATGGTAGGTAAATCCGTCCACGTGTCTTGCAGGTCAACCAGAAGCGATTGGAAGTGCGCCTCGCCGTATTCAAACATTCGGTGGGCAAGAAATATCAGCCCGTAAGCTGCCGTCTTCCGAAATTCGACTACTTTGTATAGGTCTGGGTTTTTGGCATGCATAAGTTTCCGCCATCCAATAAACACGTTTTGAATGGTATACTCATGTACAGCCGTGGACTGTTCTTCAGGCGAAAGCCCGGAAAGATTCGGCCGTGGCGCCAAATCAAGCGTCTCAGGCTCAAGGCCACCCCAATCAAGGAAGGCTGGATCGGGGTTATGGTTAAAGAGGGGCGAGATGTGACAAGACTGCCAGTCAATAATACCCGTAATTTTTTCGGGATTATGCGGGTCTACAAAGACGTTGTCATCATGCAAATCATTATGCCAGAGGCAGGGTCTGGTAATTGCGGTATCCTTTGGAATAAGGGCATCAATGACTTGTCGGTACCATGCTAAAGCAGTAAGTTTCTTTTCCCTGTCTGGTCGGTAGAGCTTTGGCCCACAGAACAAGGCGGTCGATTTCGGAGGTTCTAGAGACTGGATTGCCTTTACCTCTCGCGTCCCGACTGCTTGCAGATACTGTGTTAGAGAAGTCCCTGTACACTTATTAGCAAATCTACAAGAGCAGAACAAACCATAACGTACATGGCCCTTTCTCGACGTCCAAATTTGATCGGCCTGCGTCACACCAATCCCGGCCTGTAGCCGGGCCAATAGCAAACTTTGAATCTCTTACAGCCTTGCCATCCTTAACGAAGTGGTTTCCTCGTAGTGGCTGCACGTCTTCCGTGTAATATAAACTGCCGTAATGAGAGAACGAAACGCTCAGCCATTGTTTCTGGAGGCGAGTCATAGCAAGAAGCACTTGAAGCTTTTGCGGTAGTTTCATTGTGCCCCAAACTTGGGACAGAGGAACACCTTCAATTTTATCCATGATAATAAATTCAGCCCCGACAGGATGCGTTTTAGCTCGCGAGTTCCACATGTGTACACGAGGCGCTGCTGTGTTAAGGATTTTCCTAGCCTGCCAAATGAGACGCCTTAGCAAAACTCGATGATGACGGTGCTCAGGATAACTTACGAAATCCATTGTGGCAACTTCACTGGCAGTAGTAAAGTGTGGAACGCCAGCATTCGGGTTGGGAACCTTGGCTATAACTTCTCGGCCATCGTCCATGGACATGAGGAACGCTTTGTTGAACATGCCGTCAGGATACTTCTTGATAGAGATGCATCTAGCAGCTCCCACCGATTCTGCTGCGACTCTTGCGAGGCTATTCATGTCAAATCTGATCTCTCGCTTCCGAAGGTTCTCTACCTCATCAACAATAAAGCGGCCACGCGTGAATTTAAAAAACTCATCGTTAGAGTTCCAATCTGACACGATGAGTAATATGCTGAATCGCGCTCCAAAGGGCGTGCATACCTGTCTGAGAAGAGCCTATGTCCATGCTCGCGGGACGGTGATGGTGGGATAAAGGTGAATCTTTAGAGGTTGAGTGGTAGTGTTGGTTTAGGCTTGGTAGTTTACTATGAATGTAACACCAAGGACGCGCGGATGGGGGTCGGCGCATTTTCACGAAATGCAAGTCCCTGGAAGATCAGGTAGCACTTGACCACGCGGGCATCAAAGTGTTAAAAACATCAAGGATAAGAATAAAACAAATTCAGAGGATGCTTCTTGCTGCGCAAACCGAGAGATAATAATGCTGGTGATGTGGAGGGAAGATTGCGACCGTAGGTGAGGCAGAGCAATGCAGATCATCCCCGACTGTCAAGGGATAGTTGAGACAGTCAACACGTGACCAGATGGAAGGCGCCAGGACATTTTGAGTTAGCTTATTTGTTACAAAATTATCCCGCCTGGCTTGTGATGGGGGCGCCACTCTTTTTTCCACCTGAAACCACTATGACGGTTTAAGGATTTAGTGATTAATCAAATTACCGCAATCTATCTTTCGATTCTGGAATAGGCATTATAAAAACCTGAAGAGGCCAATGGCTTGAACAGTCTGCTTGCTCTTGCTGCTCCGTCAGCTAATTCGCCAACTGTCACAAGGGAATTATGTCAACAACAATTGTCTCAGGGATAACTCTTACTGATCACCGAAATCATCGGCTAGAGAGGAAGTTCCTACCAAGTACATGTGGTATGGCTTATTGAAGGTTGCTGGGACGGAGAAAACGCAAAAACAAGGAGGCTGATACACAACGGGTCTTTCCGCCCTCGCAAAGCTGGGAAGTCTTGGTCGCCGTTTCGGTTGCTGTGCCACCAAGAACTTGAGTTCAAGTCCTTAAGGCGCCCCTTCGCACCTCAGACAAGACCTTGAAATACTGGAGACGGAAATGTACAGCGAGCTAAGTTGTGAGACTATATGACATGACCGTGCCTATTCACTTAAGTTCTTTGACATTTCCTCTTCAAAATCCCGCATCGCCTGCTCTTCTTCTTCCGGGGTCCTATTCTCTTTAATCTCCACATCTGCAGTCGAATAAACTTTGTGGGAATCTTGAGCAGCCTTTTTCTTGAGCGTGGAATCTTCCGCGTTCGAATTGAGCTGGAATTTGTACCGTCGATACTCCTTGCCAGCTTTCTTGACGATTTCTCCAGTATCAATGCGGCTTCCGATTCTCGCATCATGGTTTCCTCCGCGCGCTGGGGCAGCCCGGTGACCAGGCTCACCTTGCCCACGCAAAATCGTAGTGCGGCGGCTTTTCGACTGCTTGATGTAGGCCATGAGAGCCTCAAGCGACTTTTGGGTCTTAGAGGGCATGATAATAGGAGGAGAACTTGTGTCACGAGAGTTTTGGATAGATGCTGCTTAAAGAGAATTATCAGCATCGCGACAGGAGCAGGACTTGAACACTTACTTAGAGCAGACAGATGGCTGTGCAATGGAGTCTGTCTTGTCATTCTTTACATGTTGTCTGTCGTCTTATATATCCGGACAAAGACATGGAAGATTCATCAGGTAGTTCAGACTTCAATACACGCTGCAGGCAACTCGTCGGCGGCGGCCTCGGATTGCCAATCAATCTGGCACTAGCCTAACAATGATTGCAACATGTCTCCACTTGTGCAGTGAAGCAAGACAGCGTATCGCTCGTTCGTTTCGGATCCAAACATGGCTCATGGATGGTGATTAGGGCGTCCAAGAATCCTTTGGCCTGAGCACAACTCAAAATAAAAAAGTTAAAAAAATATAAAAGAAGGGTAAAAGTAATTGGCTGTGGGTGGTCAAACTTAGGCGCCAAGTTGATCCGGCTTCACCTAGCGGTGAAGTTTGATAGCCCTAGGAGGTTAAAGCATCTGTCTGTCGACTGCGATAGCACAGAAAGCGCTAAACCTTCGTAAAGAACTGGCTGGGCGAGCAAATAGACTGTCGTGCTGTATTGGTCACAATCAAAAGCGCCCGGAGCCTCGAGGATAGACATGTCTTCCATTCGCTAATTCAAATTATCTTATTGAAAACCTGGCACTTTATCTAAGCAGTTAGAAATGTTTTACAACCTGCTCGTCTTTATCACGTCGGGCAACCGCGGCTCATATTTGTATTCAAAGAATGTACGGACAGGAGGCAGTCCAGCTGTCCTTCTAATACCCTCTGTGACGACTCGCACGATGTGATCGAGCTTTATTGATCGATGGAAAGCTCACCCCGCAGTCTGTACACCAATAATGACTGTCAGTGTCGTGTTGCCGAAGAGCCCTCCTATCCATGAAAGATCTTTTACAGATACTGCAATAGACGTTATAGTCTAACCGACTTCGCTCTTGGATATGTAGTTTGACTCTTGGCTGCCATAGAATTGCTCGGGAAATTCTTTTATTGCTGACAGATATGGTTATTCAGATTTCGCGACTAATCGAGGCAGGGAGGCATAGGCCTACCACAATTCCTGTTCCAGCTGAAGCACCTTTTTTATCATTAAGAAGGAGAAATCGTATGAAAACGGAGCTAATGACTTCAAGATGTCGTGAAAACGCTGCTGGTGTTCAAGAGTTGATAGGTGTTGTATAGAATATCTTGATAAGATATCTCGTATTTCCGAGTGGGAAGGAATGTTCGGCCCGTAGACATACTGAGTTGTATTGATGAAATCCGTATCTGTCCAATTTAACTGAAGGCAAGACTCCATTTTCTGCTTAGCCAATGTTTTCAATCCCTCAATCTGATATTTATCAGCAATGACATATATTTCTGCATTGATAAGTGCCCTTCTTTGTTTGACAAGAACGCTAGCGGCTGCAGCGATATTATTTTCAGCACTTTCGGCACTTTCAGCACTTTCGGCAATCTCGTCGATAGTTGATATCTCGTTTTGTTGTTCTTCTGACTTGGGTGGCTCAAGGGTGCCTTGAACTAGTTCCTCAATAGGATATTCATACGAGTCTTCATAATCGGCGCAGTAAAGATAGTCGATCATCTTTGCAACGATACGTGGGTCATCTTCGAGCGTGACATGTCCGGTACTGGCTTCCTGTAATTTGTAAGAGAGAAATCCCATGTACGAATTATTTCCTTTTACCTGGAACTGACCACTTATGGCCTTATCAAAGAACCTCGACTGGGGGCAGACAATACAGCGATGCACTCTGAAAGTAAAAGATTCGCAGAGGACTGTAAGATCTGAGTATGCTCCATATTTGCGAATACTTCATAAATCAGATACCGTTCGATGTATCGCGAAGGTTTGAGCTCACCGTGACAACAGCAATCTTAGAGATTCAAAATCAGCAGCCATTCTCGGTCGATATATGCTTAACGTCGGTTGGTCAATCGTGAAAAACACAGCGATATATCAGAGAAGATCATCTGTCCTGATGCTTCATCACCCAAAGCGGGGTAGAGGTGTCAGCGGCTGGCCACGTCAGCTTCCGCCTCACTTCGTCGCCTTCTCCTGGCCGATCGGTCGCTACCACGCATCTCGTGTCATGTCTCTAGCCCCCTCACTTAAGCTATAGTCGATTAGTTAATGAGGGCCATTGACGACTGTAAAAAGATATAATTAGGAAGGTGGAGGCGCATAGCAACTGCCAGACTAGTACGTACCGTCAGGGTTTTGACTAATTTGCATAGAAGCTTTTTACTAGATTTTTAGTTGCAAAATCCTGGCTGGTACAGGGCAGTACGCGTAATTTATACCACATCTTTTACAAACGTAGACTTGCCCCTCTTTCCAAACACCGAACGAAAAAAATCACAACTGGCTCATTTGTGACTGCTGGAAAGCAGGATTATGGTTGAAAGATGTGTTCTGGGGAAGAGCTTGGTGATGTAAATTACGCCCGAAGCTGCCTGCCTGGGGTAGAGGCATGGTCCGAAGTGCCAATCTAGGGTCCGTGGGCTTGGTATTGTGAGTCTTTATCCATTGCGGAGGGATTGTGCATCATTGTTTTGATCTGACTAACAGCCCTGATCTACCTCTTGAAATGCCATGGTTATCAATTGTGCGATCAGTAGTGCGCCTAGAATGAAGCTTGGATTCTCAAAACGCTCGAATCTGGAAGTGGATAAATGCGTGCGGTCGGGAAGGCCAGAAGCATGCACGTGCTTCAGTAGATCAGCCGAAGTTCCAGAACTATGTATTGGTGGACAGCCCCGCTTGGACTTCCCGCTTTTTATTGGTTGTCCGCCAAGCGATAAAGAAATTAGTGCATGCAAATTTGATCCCCTGAAAGTGCCCAAAAAGGGGGGCTTTCTTAGCTGATACATCTTTTACACCCCCAGAACCATTAAGAGTCTTGTAGATAGCCAGTGACATATCTTCGCTATGCTTTAGTGTTTGCTTGGATATTACAAACATCTGCCAGTAACCAAAATTATCGTCAAGATAGTGTATCACGAATCCAACTCATCGGCCACCTGCATAATTCGCTCACCACCTACGGATACGATCAGCACCCGCATATTTCGGGCACTTGTAAGCTGAACATCGCTTAAATAAGCACCGAAACAATTCCAAGTCATCCGAGTCCGCTTGCTAAAGAAGCCGGACCTTAAACTTTTTGGCGCTAGCTGCCGGGAACTTGTTTGATGTTTAGTTCGCAGCACTACGCATAACAAACCTTCGATCCCTAAGAGAAGGTACGAGATAAAAGAGTTGGATACAGTACTATCACGTACAGATCCTTCCGGAAAAGTGGTCTTTTGCAGGCTTATATGTAGATATATTAGGGGAAAAGTATCCCAGCTATTGAATGTCAGTCCTCAAATAAATATTTCTCCTACTTATGAAGAAAACGAGACTGAATGTGCCGATGCTCGACCGGGTCCGAAATCGCTCACCCAAATTCTGTGAAACTCAACAAGGATCATGCATTTCTTTGTTTGCTACGACAAACATGATGGCAAGCACATCTCGGAAAAGTACCTCTCGTTAAAATGAGCTTTGGAGATATAAGAGGTCATTTCGTTTCTATCTTAATCGAAAAGAGATGATTATTCACCTTTGTTCGTTGATAATTTGTTGTATTGTGGGCATATAAGTTGCTTCTACCGGGTGGTGAGTATAGATATTCTCTTTCCAATAAAGCTCTAGATATTAACATGACTTACGAGTCACCAAAAAAATGGCTAAGACCCCAGCATTTCGGCCCTTACTCCCTGCTGCTACACCGCCATCTCGAATCCTGAGTGCAAAGGGTTCTGGTTCGACACAGACTCGTCGATCCTCAGCCTGTCTAAAGTGTCGTGAGAAACGTGTAAAGGTAAGATATCTCAGCTGCAGTCGATCCAACGCTACTGACCGCTGATTATATCTAGTGCGTCGGTTCATCGCCTTGCCAAGCCTGCACCGAAACCGGAACAGCCTGCATCTTCGAGCCGTCTAGAGATAGACGTAGGAAGTCAGCTCTCATTTATGCAGAGCAGTCTGCTCAGAGATATCAGGAAATCTTGAAGCAGCTAATATGCACTTTGATGTTTGGTAATGATGAACAGATCTCTGCGTTGAAGGAATATGTCAGATACCATGCTTCTGTAGAGAGTTGCTTAGACCTCCTGGATTCGGAGTACCAGCCAAGCTCAACACCCTCAGAGACAAGGTAGTGGAGAAGATTGGGACTCAAAGCCTACTAGAATACTGGTTTGCACCCGTCTACCATCACATTCAGCAAACGTCAATCTTTACTTTGCTGAGTACTCTATACCAACAATTGAGAAAGGCTCATGCGCAACTTTCGCAACTTTCAATCCAATATTAGCATTTTTGTTCCAGCAAAACAACTAGCTTGACTATGCTATCGCTATTGCTCTATTTCTTTGGTTTGACAAGCTCCGCCCTTATAAGACAACTTTGCCTTCTATTAGACACTGCAGCCATTTACTTTACACTGCATATAACCAATAAACCATAGAACCCCTGGTTGTGAGTACAGCAATTGCTTGTCGCCAAAGGGGTAGCAGCTTGTTAAAATATTGAGGATAGGATAAAAATGCTTACCTATGCACCCTTACAACGCCTAAGTAAATTGGACTTGCTGTGTTGGTCACTCGAAATATGAAATATAACAGCGTCCTGATGAATAATACCTGTATTGTTGTTATAAAAGTGACAAGTGGTACTTAAATCTTGTTATTAAGTATCCCCTGGATTAAATGCATCTGAAGCTCTGTACTTGCCCGCTGAATAAAATCAAGGATCCGAAGCCATGCGATGTGTACATCTCTTGTAGTAGTATCTTCCCTGTTGGTCGGAGTTACGGCCGGATAAGAGAATTCTCTTAGACCTGTAGCACGCTCATAGTCTGCTGCAGTAGCCCCTGTAGAAAGTTATTAGTATAAGGATATATCTCAATCAAGATTGTGAACAATATGAAAACTTACATGGACCCCGATTAAAGTCCATCATGAGCCTTCCGTCATCACTGTTCTGTCTACTCACCGAAGGGCCAATCGTAAAGCGATCGTCCGCAATGTTTTCTCCTGATTTGACGGTGTATTCAAGGCTTGGACTCGTTGATCCAATATCGTGCTTGTAATATAGGCTTCCATAATGCGAGAAAGAGATATTTAACCACATTTCTTGATAAGTCGCAATGCTCTGGACAATCCTGAACTTTGCACCAACTTCAAGTTGATCCCATAACTTACTTAATGGAACACCGGGTACATTTTCCATCAAGATGTATTCGGCCCCGACGTCATTTTTGGACGTGGAACTCCAAGCCAGAACATGTGGGATAGGTATTTTAAGAACGTTTCACAGCTGCAGGGTATCAGCATGTAAAAT